CCTGGCTGAGCAAATGGGATAGGGTGGGTGGAAGAAGTCTGGGTGCTCTAGGGGAAAAAAAAAACCCTCTCTAAACCTGTGAAATAATTGCAAAATAATGGATTACCTGAAGACGTGAGAAATAGTTAGGCCATCAGCCCTTATTTTTTCTGGTTGTCTTGCAAGTAGCTTTGTTGGCAAAATAGAATAAGAAATTAAACACCTGGATGGAGCTCATGGCTGTTTGTAGCTGCTGGCAAGTGGCAGTGGTTTTTGGGAGAGGTGGAGGTAGCAGGATAGTGTATGGGCTCCAGCATGCCCTTGGGAGGTTACTTCACCTCAAGGGTGAAGTCCTACCGGAGGCTGATGGCTTTTGGTTGTGCCCCTTGACCCAGGCAGAGCCACTGTTTGCTGGCCAAAGCTCAGACCTCCACCCTGCCCTGGGTGTGCTGGGGCAATGGGGAGCAGAAGACCTCCCCAGCTGGGTCTTAGCTTGCGCTGGGCACCTGAGGCTGCTCTTGGCTTGTAAATAAAATAAAGGGCTAAAAATAAAAAAGCACAAATCTTTCTATAGCATCCAGAAAGACAAGCTGGATGGGCTGGAGGCCAAGTGGTTTTATTGAAGGTAGTTGTGAGCATGAGAGCTGAAGGCGAGGGCTTCCCTTGAGCTGCCTGTTGTTTGAGAAATGACCTTTGAATAGGAGTGGCACCTGAAAATGACAGCAGTCCAGCAATGCGTGCTAAATGGGCTACGGAAGCAAATTCGGTGACGTTTGGTTCTTGCGTTGCAAACTTTCCAGTGGGCTTCTGGTAGAAGTGACAGTTGTTGGAGGCTGGAGCTGTAGGAACATGTGGTGCGAAGACATGGTAATGCCTTCAGCCTTGGTCTGAGCTGCTGGGTGCTTAACGTACTCTGCTTTTACCTGGGAAGTAATTACTTCATCTAACAGGCATTGTTGCTCCTGAAGGCTGCAACCAGGAGCTATCTCTTTTAATAAGTCATTAATACTCCATTAATTCCACGAGTCAGAAAAGACGACACTTGGAAACGAGTTGATGAGACATTAGCATATTCACAAATGGGAAAAAAAAAAAAAAAAAAAAAGGTGAAAGCAGCCTGCCACCTCTCCAGTGAGGGCAAGGCAGGAGACCTAGAGAGCGATCACGTCATCAGCAGTGCTGCTGCCAGACTCTGCTGCTGCCTGAAAGGCTGGGGGAATGGGATGTTCTGCACAGAGCTATGTGAGCTATTTTTTCTATATAAATAAAATATTTATGAGATTAAATTGAGCCAAAGGGGGGGAGGTGGAAAGTCTTTGGGAAAAATGGGGGGCTGTGATTTTTTGTAAATAAAACAGGCTTGTGGCAGAGAGTTTTCCCCATCTTTTTTTTAAAAAAAAGAGAAGGAAAAAAAAATGAAGTCTTTATGGGGTGTCCCTGCTAGGATGTTTTCCCTTCTTCCCTGCCATAGTAGTGTGGAAAGACAGAAATTCCTGGGTACGCTTGGAGGGTCTGAGTTAGGAAGATGAGAGGGGTGTTTGCAGCCATCGCCCCCCCTACTGAAGTGCTCTTTCCATTTGGCAAGTGCATCTGTTAATTTTTAGGCTGTCTTGTGCCTTGGCCCTTGCTGGCACACAGTGCTGTAGACATAAACACATCATCCACGTCGCAGCGTGGATACATTATGAATAAATGAAATGTAAAGCCTGGTGTAGCTGTGGTATGGTCACCCAGAAAAGCCCTTTGGTGCGGTCTCAGCACCTGCTCCCTCTGCCCCGTATCAGAGCTGCATGCACAGAAGGCAGATGATTTTTGCCTATGTGTTTCTGGGCAGGCAGACTCGATGGGGCTGTCGGAGCTGAGTGGAGTGGTCAGCATGCTTTGCAGAGGCGCGGGGTGAGCTGAAATAACTCCCATCTCTTTATTCTGTGCAGAGTCACCTATTTAACATCCCTACGGCAGTGCAGAGGGCTGGCTGCAGGGGAGAGGGCACCCCAACGAGGGTCTCCACTTTGGCGGGGGCTGTGCCTTCCCTTCCACAGGCCTGAGCTGTGTCAGGAGGTGGGATGTCCATCCTTTCTTCTTTTACCTTACCTGTTAGGCGAGTGCTGTGGGGCAGAGGCTCTGCCTTGCTGCTTATATCACTCTGAGGAGGAAAGAAAAGGCACTGGGGATGGTTTCTGGTCCTAGACTCTTGTAGGAAACAAGGAATATACCCCCAGATACCTACAGCCTCTTCCTTGTATTGTAGATGAGACATTTGTTCATTTTAAGCATCCAAGTGTAGGGTTGAGCTGGAAAGCAGACCCCATATGCCAGCCTTGTGGCCCCACACGTCAGCAGTGCTGGGGACAAGATGGCATCTCTGGTTTTCACTACTGATGCAGAGATGAAGTGCGAATTTGCATGTGAAATTAGCCCACGCTGATGAGGTCTGGTTTAGTTTCTTGGCCAAGCCTTCCTCCTAGAAACTCACAGTGTCCTACAGATGATGGCACCCAGTTTCTGTTCTCCTTCATTAAAAAGGAATTTACTTCCCTGGGAAATATGTTTAAGTGAAGGTGATGGCTTTTGCTCTCCCTTTATTCTCTCAGTTATTTTAGTAGCAGCATTTGAGCAAAGTGGGTGATTTTTGTTTTTAAATAGCTTGGGGTGGTGTTTTGTGTTGGTTTTTTTTTATTGCCTGATCTTTGCTGTTGCTGGAAAAATATTGAGCTGTAACTCAGGAAGGGTTTTAAAGCTGAACAAAGCAGATGCACTGCCTACTGGGCAACTTCTTGCTGGTAGGGGTGAAGGGGAGACTTTTCTGCATGGTTTTGGGAAGGGTGAGTGCAGCACCATGCCATCCAATTTATTTCAAGAGAGGAAGGGTGGGGGTGTTTTTGCTTAGTTTGTGGTTCCTCTTAGCTAAGGTGGCCTGATTTGCTGCTGCTTAGCTGCCAAAAAGGTAAAAGGGAGTTTTGCTTGTCCTGAGCATCCTCGGATCCTGAGTAGCTAACAGTGTTTCCTGCCTCAGCATTGCGTGCTCCTCTCTTCCCCTGCCTCCCTAAATGCATCATCTCTCTGGAGCCTGGTGGGAAGAGCTAGCAGTTAGCAGGATGCTGTCTCAGGGAAGAGAGCGAGCAGGATACAGAGCAGTCCTACCATCAGTCTCGCCTCATATATGCTCCCAACCCCGAGTTTCCTGGGCTGGCTGTGGTTTGAAAGGGCAGCAACCATTTGCTGCTTTAGTTTCCATTTTTACCCTGTTTTTGCTAAAAGAAGGTGAGGAACAGCTCGGTATCCACACCTTAGCAGGCAGGCTTAGTGCCAGCAAATCCCACGCTGAAGCCTCACTGTTGAGCTGGGCTTCAGCTACCTGACCAATACTAATATGAAAGAGTAGGTGAAAGGATGGGCCACTGAAGAGGCTAAAAAAGGTCTAGGAACAAAAAGGAAGTTGCATAATGATTGCATTTCTTTTTGGGAAGTGGAGCTGGAGGAGATAACGCTCATTTCTCCTGACCTTTTCAGGTGGCTGTTATGGTGCCGGCCGCATTTATTACGCTCGCTTGATGAAAATCAGGAGATGATGCATCTGTTGCGGGAAGCAATCATGCAAACGCCCTGAGCTTTGATGTTCCCCAGGACACTTTGTTTAGCAGCCAGGACGAACAGCAGAGCCTGTTTCCCAGCCTGTGCCGCTGACGCCAATTAACCCAAAGCAAACCAACGCCTGTGTTTCGGGTGAGATGGCAGCTCTCCTACCTCATCTGTTTCCATCCCATAGGGAATGGCAGCTGCTTCTTGGTTGCCCTCCCTACACCAGCAAATGCCCTGCTGCTTCAGGGTTTCAGCTTTAACAAAGAGGTAGCTTGGAGGATACCCTGATGAACCTCATGTCCTCCCCCAAAGCAGTTGGTAATTAAAAGCATGGACATAAAACACTGCAAACTGGCCCATCTCTACCACCACAGGGGTGCTGCTTACCCCCAAAACCCTCCAGAAACTCAGTCATGCCACCATCTTGACAAGGGTCTGTGGGAATCAGCCCATCTTCAGCCTCTGGGGTGATGGTGACCAGCTCTGGGGACCTGATGGAATGCCCAAACCTTTGCATCATCATGTAGTGCTGGTTTATTTATCAAGGCCACATGGGCTGAGGACTTTGCTTTTCACAGCCTGGGGATTTGGCTGGAGGCAGAAGTGGCCAAGAATCTCCTCCCCAAACCAGCCTTCCTGTCAGCCATCCCCCAGCTTCAGGTGCTAGTAGCTGAACACGTAAACTGTGGATTAAAATATTCTTCACTGTATCTTAGCAGCCAAATTTTTCAAGGATTAAAAATAAAGCTGCAGAGCAAGCAGCCATGTGTGTGAAATGGGGCACCTCTCAGCCCAGGAACGTGGGTTGTCAATGCACTTTCCTACAGGCTCCCTGGCTGTGTTTGGGGGAAAAAAACACTATTAAATGGAAAAAAAAGAAAATTAAGTGACCTGCTTCTGCACAGAAGCACCTGCACAAAAAGGAAGGGACCAGTGATGGAGCAGCCTCATAACTGCTCATGGTCCACAGTGAGGCAAACTGAAGTATTTCACAGCAGGATGATGCAGGGAGGTAATTTCAGAGAAAGGAAAATATGAAGCATGGGAGCCCCCTGCACATTGCTGGCTCTGTCTCAGCAGCCCCTGTGTTCCCCCACCCATCCCAAGCCATGGGGCAGCAGCATTTCAGAGGATCCCATGGTGCTGGCTGAACCTCAATCCTCTCCCTTTACCTCCCCCCATCCCTTCTCCCATGGAGAATTTGGGTTCCCTTGCCTGGAAAATCAAGTAGCCAACATGCCCCTGGACTCAGAGTTTCCTACACAAAGGCCAAAATTCATGTTTATTGCAGGCACTGTGTGCCCACCCTCCGCTTGCCTGTCGTCCACCGGACCCGCCGTAATCCTGCCTGCAGCAGTGGCTTGGCGCCCAGGCATCTCCTCAAGAGCGGATGCTCTGCTGCAGAAGCACTTATAAATTAAGGAATTTTTTTTTTTTTCTTTTTTCTCCTCGTCCATGCTAGGAGTCATCATAGAGAGGGTTGTTGTAGTTGCCCCAGGAGCCATACTCGTGGTCATCCAAAAGCCTGCCATAGGAGGAGTGCCTGCCAAGGGAAAGCAAACCCAGTGTTACCAGTTGATTTGGTGCTTTATTTGTTATTTTACCATGGGGCAAAAAAAAAGGTGCATGCAAGTCCTCACTGGGTCAAGCTTTAGGATATTTTAGCAGGATGCCCCAGGACAGAAAATAAGCCCGGGCAGGCTTTTGCCCCCATTGAACCAGACTGGGACATGCCATGGAATTAAAACAAGACCTCGTCTCAGTTGTCGGCAAAGCCTCATTACAGATGCTCAGTGTTGGGCTGTGCTGCTGTTTATTGTCTAAGTCACAGCAAGACCCGTGGCAGCAGCTTACCCTAGGGATAATTACTGGTTATGACTATGCTGAACAGCATCTCTGGCATTTGAGCAAGGCTGTTGTAAAAAGAGGAAGCAAAACTCTGCTTCTCACTATAGATGTGGTAGAAAATGCAGCCATGCTGGGACTAGAGGCTGCCCATCACCCCACCAGGCTTGGGGACACCATCTTCCCAAGGCTTTGCCCCTGAGCATAACCCTTGCGGTAGTGAGAGATACTTCAGCCTCAGCTCAAGCACTCCAAAAGCAGCCTTACCTGATCTTGAGGTACGCCGCTGCCCCGAAAACCAGCACCACCACCACGATGACGGTCACGGTTATGGCCACAATGCTCCCTGCAGAGGGTCCATCAGAAAGAGCAGCACTCAGTGCCCCTAAATCCTAGCCCCATAGCACCCACCCCACACCTGATACACCCATGCTAGCCATCTCTGGTGGGAGGGGCCATGCCCTCACCACTTCCTAAAACTCCTGTGGAAAATGCTGAGCACCCCTGTATTTTTGCAGTGACCCCCTTCCCATAAAGGCAGGGCAGGTGGATTTGGGAGAAAACACAGCTGGGCTTTGCTTGAGGACTATGGACTTACTCCTTGATGCTGCTCCAAGCACCAGGCAGCATTTAGTGCTGAGCCAAGGCTAGAAAATTCTCCAGATCCCTCCTTTTTATGGCATTATGAAGCACATTTAAGCTCTCTAAGCTTACAGAAGAAGACAGGTGAAAGCTAGTGTCAGATTAGTGAGGTCTCTAGGAGGGAGAAAGAAAACCTATGTCTTCCTAATTCAGGCTGCACCCACTATCCAGGCACTTGTTTCCTCTCATCCTTAAGTTTTTCAAGTCAAATTTGCAACTAAGGATTTTATTCACAACTCTGGGCAACTGATGTTTGGTATCTACGACTCCTTGTCTTCACTGGTGGGACAGATAACATAGGCTTCTTCAGGAAAGCTCAGCTTTTGCTGAATGGGGCTCTTGGAAAGTTGGCCACCTCTTCCTTCCCTCTCAATTCAGGGGCTCTGCCCCTCTTATCTATGCACCTTGAGGTTGACATTATATCTATATAGGCATATGGAGAGCAGTTGGGGCTCACCTGCGCTCAAGGCGCGTGGAACCTCTTCCATGGTGACTCCGGTGGAGAGGGTGGTTTTGCCAGTGGCCATGGCCTCAGCTGCAGTGGGGCTTGTCACAGTCACTGGGGGGGATGTTGGCTCTATGGCCAGGCTCGATGCCATGGCCAGTGTCCCTAGGGAAGGGATGTCCTTGGTCAGCGCTGGTGGCTGGGTGGTGCCAGGGCTCAGGAGGACAGGTGTTGGGGACAAGACTATCCCAGGAGAAGAGTACAGGTCACTGGTGGGGAGGGATGAGGAGGATGATGATGTAGGTATACCCGTGGGGCTGGGAGCTGCCCCCAGATCCATCGTGCCTCTTGCCAAGCTGGCGGTGTTTGCTGTCCGAAGACCTGGGGTTGTCTCCAAGGCTGGTGACACTGAGCTGGGCTTGGAGGCTATGACTGGCCTGTCTGCTATGGTGGTGGTGGCTGCGGTGATGGAGCTCACAGCAACAGAGGCAAGAGCAGGGGACAGTGCTGCCACAGGGGTGGCATTGTGGCCATCCCCCTCAGCCGGCCTGGAGGATGCCTCGTCTCCAGCAGGTCCTGTGGACACAGGCAGTGAGGACTGGCCAGGATCTGGTGTAAGAACAGCAGCATCCCTGGAGCCCGGTGCTGCTGGGATCCCCTCTGACGGGAAGGAAGGGCTGGTGGGGGTGAGGAGCACAGCTCTGGAGTCATCACCCAGTCCTAGAATTGAGACAAAAAGGTATTGATAATGAGAAACCCTTGGGGAAACCTGGGGTTTGGGTGATCACTAAAGGATTTGGGAATGAAGCTAGAAAAAAGTTGGGTTTTTGTTTTTTTTTTTTAAATGCTCAGAGTCATCTAAAATAAAGAGATGGGAAATATCCCTGCACAGCTAGAGGTGATGTTTAAACCAGACCAGTTGTCCTGGCAGGGGTCAGAACCATTTTTTCCCCCAGAGTTGGGATCCTCCCCACCCCCAAACACCCCCTCCATCTTCCCAGCATCTCCCAGAGGCCAGCAAAGCAGCAGGGGAGCAAGCTCCTTCTCAGCAGCAACCACCACACAGCTGGGAATGATAACACAAGACATCTCTTTTTCCTCTCACCCCATTTCCTTGTGCATTCATTCGTTTTCATTTCTTAGCATGAAGATGAGTCATTTTTTCCTCTATCCCCACCAGCAGACTGCTGGGGCTTCCCCCTGCCCCCCCTTTCTGATCTCCAGGGCTAAACTCAGCACTGGGCCAGCCCTAGCAGCTAACTTCCTCAGCATTGTCAGGCTGAGGGAAGACCATGCCAACACTAAGTGACATCAGGAGGGATTTTTATTCCCATACATTTATTTACACCCCCCAGATCATCTCAAGCCCAGCACTGGGAAAAGCAAGAACTTGATCTGGTGCAAAAAGCCTCAATGAACTAATTATTATATGAGCATGGAGGACAAAAACACTCAACAAAATGCTGAATTTGTTGGAAACCTGCAGCCAAACTCCCACCTCAGCTCCAGAATGAGAAACAACAGCAGTGAGGGCACAGACAACTATTATGGTAGCCCTTTGTGAGTAGGAGCTTGCAGATCATATATAGCTGGGCATCACTGGTAGGAACACAAGGGTCTTCTCCCCATCACCAAGCCGCCCCTCAAGGAGATGTTGCCAACCACCACAGCCAAATTTGCTGTTGTCCCAAAGTCAATCTGAAATGCCACCCATGCAGGTGACACCCAAGGTTGCAAGAAAGGACCCAGCCTTCACCAGAGATGTTTTAGATGGAACAGAGCTATTGCTGGCCCACCATGCAGTTCTTATAGCACGTAAAGCTGCACCAAGAAATAATGGCATGGGAAGGACTCAAATTTGGGAGCAGGGGCTGTGCAACATAGGGTTCCTCCAGCAAAACCCCTCACTGCTGAGCACCCAGGAGAACCACAGGCTTCCAGGGCACAGATAGCACCTTGTGCTGAAGAAGAGATGGAAACACTTAGCACCTGTGTGTAGAAAATGCAGGATGTAGCACTGGTGAGCATGGACTCACTAAACCATGTTTAGGGTGCTTTCAGCCATCAGCACAAACAGAAAACTGCCGGTGTCTAATACGGCTTCACTCAGCCCGTACACCTGCAGCGGAGCAGGACAGCAGAAGGGACATCTCAGCTAAAGACCTCTGGCTCACTGCAGTGAGTGCTGGGTACACAGCACATGCTTCATGAAGCCATTTTCTGTCTAGAAACTGTAAACATGCTTGGCCAGGGATTTAAATCCAGCTCTGGGGTATGACTTCTAGATTCCAAGGTATTTCGGAGCACAAGTCCCTAGCATGCTTGACCCAAAGGCTTTTTTTTTCCTGGCACTGCAGATACACCTGTGATGGACCCCACTTCCCAAGCAGGAGGGTCTGGGAGGTGGGAGTGAGGCCATGGGTGCTCTTCTCCCAGGGACAGGCACTTGGAGATGTCTCTGAACCTTCACCCTCCTCAAGCTCTTCATCGGCTGAGGTACAAGGCTGGCAGACTTTAGGATAAGGGAGGGGAAACAAATAAGCTGGAATCTGATTACCAAGGGAGCCCACCTGGCTCAGCATGCATGGTTTCTGTACCCAGCCCAACCACAGCAGCAGGGAAGACATCCCACAGACATCTTTCCAAAGCATACTGGGCTCCTGCAAGGCTTCTGCTGTCAACAGGGTACTCTGTCTCCTCATCCCAAGGCCTGCTCATCTCAGGCTTAATACCTGGAAGGTAATGGCATGTGAACTTGAGCTGCATTACTGTGATAATCCTGAGCTAAAAAGCCACTAATTCATATAAATACACTGGTTTTCCACAGCTTGACTTCACCCACAGTATCTTACCAGGGCAAAGCCTGCCCAAAGTGCTGGCTCCATCCAACAGACCCGATGGGTCCCCACTCATCCTGTCCCCTCTTTCTGCAGAGGCAGGTGGCTCCCTTGCTCAGCTCAGGCACTGCAACACCATAAAACCAAATACTCCCTGTGCCTCTCCATCCCTTCGCATAGCTCCCTCCACACCAGTGTGCCACAGGCAGCAAGTTCCAGGTCTCCTACAGCACAGGCAAGTCGCTTACCAGTGTGGTGGGACCTGCAAAGCACCTGCAGCAACATCTGCTAGGGGCCAACATCATCTGGTACATCATTTCCAGTGTCCAGAAGCAAGCTGCAAGAACCTGCCTCTTCATGTTGATATTGAGGTTCTAGTGGTTGATTTGTTCCCTTTTTGCTTTTACACTGAACTCTCTCTTTTACACTGAACCATTGCCCTTTCTTGACCAGGTTGAAGCAGCCCCATATGGTCTTGCCAGCACACTCACTTTTGGGGGTAGGCGGCAGAGCATAAAGGGAGGCTGCCAAAACCACATCTCCTTTTTAAAAGAAGGTATGAAAGCCATTTCTAGCAGGTACTGTTATTCTACAACCTCCCACATCACAAGAACTGAAGGTGTCATCAGCCACAATTCTGTGAGAGCACAGCCCTCTGGTTTTCATGGCCAAGGGCGGGACATGAACTCTGTCTGGATTCACAAGGAACATTGAGAAACAGGGTCTTTCTCAAGGATTTAACACCATGCAGCCATCCTGGGCCTTATGCAAGAGGAGGCATGGTCACTGCCAGAGAGCAGAGGGTCTGCTTTGGAGATGTGTGTGTGGAAAGATGGATCAGCAATACAAGTTGCTAGAAGGCAGGGTGAAGAATCCAAGTACTCTGGCCCATCATATTCTGCCCCAGCTCCACCAGCCTCCCTGCACCCACAGTTCTGACCTCAGATGATTAGATTATTTCCCCACAGACACAACACCATCAGCCTCCCTCATCAGCAGTGATGCAAGGCTTCCCACTGCAACTAAGTACTATTGCAACAACAAACCTCTCAACCTCTACAGTACTGCCTGAAGGTGCCCAGCTAACCTGAGATTGCATTGCCAGGAGTAGCTTGCAGCTCGTGCATGCCCTGAGCAGAGCACTCATCAACTGTTTTAAGAGGCACTGGAGATGGCCAAGCCAGGCCAGAAATCAGCTGCCACGTGATAGCAGAAGATGCTAGAAGTGCCAAACCCAGACTGGGCATCCCCTGACCCTTAGTGTTCTTCAGGTCAGGGTCCAACACTTATGTGTACTGCTGTAAAATAATCCTTTTTCCAGCACACTGTGGCATTTCAGATGTTTGACTTCAACAGGTAGAAGACAGCCTCTACAGCCTGTAGCATGACATGCTGCTGTTACATCAGGCACAGCAGGACCCTTGCAGGGCTGGTAGCCCTTTGAAAGTGTCACAACTCTGTAAATGTGGATGCTACCACCCTTGGACACAGGCAGCTTACCACCTCTGTGCAAAGCCACCCTGGTATCCCATATTGCTTGCTCGTGCTTTGGGTCAGCAAAGTTCTCATGATCTGCTTGAACTTCAAGAGGCAAACTTATAGGAACTTCTAAAAGCTGGCAATACTGCTAGCCAGGATGAGTCAGGAAGTTTCCGATAATATCTAAGGGATATAAATGCAGAGGGTGAGCCAAAAGTGGATGCAGGAACAATCCTTGACCGTTGGTTGAGCACTCACAGCCAAGCAGGTCACAAGTCACAGGGACATTTCCCAGGACAGCAAGCATGGCCAAAGGCAGCACACTGCTCATTTAAGCCTTGTTTTTTTGCCCCCCATCTCCCCCTGCTCCGGCATGGTTATTGCCAGCCAAGTTTTGGTTTCCAGATCAATAGTGCTGCATTAATCTCTTCTAGCAAACCCTGCCTGTGCCAGCCCTCTGCTATCCTCTTGTTTCTCTAAGCCATCACCTCCACGGGGTTATCTTGGACTCAGCAACTGCCCACTTGCGGTCCAGGTCTCACCCAGAGCACATCACCCCCTCACGCACAGGCTGTGCCCCTTTGCACTGCAGGAAAAGCCCAGCTGGGATCCCAGAGGCAATGCAGGCTGCTTCTGAACTAGGTTAGGATGAAGGGACAAAAAAAAAAAAAAAAAGAAAAAAAAAAAAAAAAAAAGTAGCTAAGGACCCCCTTAGCTAGTAGTTCCACATGTCCTCATGCCACTGCACCCAGCTTGTGGACAGTCCACCCTGCAAAAGTGGGTGCTGCCTGTCCCCACGGAGATGAGTGGCCAGGAGAGCTCCCAGCTTGTCTGCAAGCTCAGTCCTCTACCAACCTACCTGCAAAGGAAAAAAGCCAAGGTGGGTTTTCCTTATTTCTCCACACCTAGTCTGTAGGACCTGCAGCTGTGAGCAGGAACCAGGGTAGTGCACTGGAATGAGGGACAAAAATCCACTAGAAAACTTTTTAGAACCACATGACTTCAAAAGCTAAAAAAACCTCAGACAGGGGTTGTCAGAGGGACTAAGGGATTTTAGCTATCAAAGGATGCCAAGCATAGTTCTGCCCTGAGGAATTTACCCATCTAATTCACTTAAGGCAGTTGACCACCCCACTGGAATCCAGGTCAGAGTAGAGGTGTGGGGGGGACTGCCAGGGCAAGGTAACCACCTAGAAAACAGCAGTGTCACACTTCACAGCCCCACAGGAGCTTTGAAAGGTCCTTTTCCTAGGTTGTCTTCTCTAGCAGTATGGAAAATGCTAAAGACAAGAAAAACCCAAACCCCTATAATTCATATATTTTGCTCTTAGGGAATATTAACCCTCATCACCTGCTAACCTAAGAAATGAACCATCCACCGGATTATTATGTCCCTCTCCTCTT